TTAATTTCCGTGATCTCTAACAAAGTATCCTGTTGCCAACGCACCACTCATTGAGGAATTTTTGTTTGATAATACTAAATTGAAATCTATTCAGTCCCTCGGAGGGCTACAATCCTATTTGTCACAACCTCGTACAAAAGGCAAGCCAAACATTATAAACAATTATAGTCTGTAACATCTGGCACAATCCAGAGGGGGGCAATTGAAGACACCGACGGGAGGCACTGAGTGCCACCAAAATTGTAATAATTTGTAAACCATGTATGATTACCAAAGACCGTAAAAAAAAAAAAAAAAAATTGTTTTCCACAAATCCAAGTTGAAACTTCAGGCTGCAGAAGCTGTGAAGCTTTTGGATTAACCATTTTTGCTTCCATAACATGCTGGGTCGCAGAGACCTTGCGTGCAAAAGGAACTCGAGTGCTAGTCTACCTAGACGACTTCCTTTTGGTCGACCAAGACAAATCCAAGTTGAAACTTCAGGCTGCAGAAGCCGTGAAGATTTTGGATTATCTGGGCTGGCATGTCAATTTCCATTATGTAGGGTGCTCGGTCGCTCGGTCGCGGAAACATTGCGTGCAAAGTAGAGTGCTAGCTTACCTACACGACTTAATCTTGTTTCACCAAGACAAATAAACGTTTTTGCTCCCATAGCATGCTCGGTCGCGAAGACCTTACGTACATAGGGAAGTCAAATGTTAACCTACCTACGCGAGTTTTTCTTGGTCCATGAAGACAAATACCTTTTTTGCTTGCATAGCATGCTCGGTCGCGGAGACATTGCGTGCAAAGGGATGTTGAGTGTTATCCCACCTACGCAAATCCCACCTGGTCCATCAAAAGAAGTCAAAGTTGAGTCTTCAGGCCACATGAGCTGTAAAGCTCTTGGATTATTTGGGCTGCCAAGTCAGCCTTACAAAAAATCAATTAGTACACTGGTTCAAGAGATGACATGGCTAGGGATTCGATGAAAAATTGCGAGAAATAAAGTGGCCACTCAACAACATTCTAGCTCAAACTCTGACGGAATTACATCACTCTATGTTAACTTGCAAATTTTCTTGCGAAGTTTCAATAAAAAACACCCCCGTAAAAAACAGGCCATCCTGCATGTGTTAACAATTAAATGCAGTGCTGACGCGGAGCCACATGTCAGACATTGCCGATACACAAAACCAACCATTTCCTGGCAACGGAAGCTTCGGAGATGGGTAGATGTTACAATGGGGTTGGCAACTGTCAAAGTGGCGCTGGTGTGCATTGTTCCCATAACATTCAATATTTGTATTGGAATTTTTGATTAAAAATTATTTTAAGCACAATGAGGCGTTGTTTTGTGCCAATATCCTCAGAAATTGGAGTACATCAATTCCCGAAGGACAAGAAAATTGGAAGACTGTGGTTAAAGGCCATTTGACGCGAAAAAAGTACTCCCACAAAAAGTTCGAGGTTATGTCGTAAACACTTTGTGGAATCTGACTATGAAAACATTAGTAAATACACAGGTATGCTTCTTTCTGTCAAATATTTATAATGCATGACTAGGTGTAGCACATATCTTTGTTCTCTTATTAAAAAAATCCAATAATAATTAGTTAGGCACACTATTAGTTGCTAACATATTTTGCAAGTAGATTTATGCTGTAAGGAACCTTTTGACAAACACAAAATCAGACTGGAGGAAACACATTCCTCATGAGCTGTTGTTCATTATCAGCTGTTACTACTGAAAGTTCTATCTAAATCACTGCATCCATTAGAATAACAAATATTTTGAAACTATGGTCAGGTTTCCTTGTGATAGTATATTTAAATGTTTTTCTTTGTGTTGTAGGTGTCAAACATTAACATAAATATCTGAAGAAAGGTGCTGTACCATCTATATTTTCATGGAATATGAAACCAGTTTCTGAAGAAACAAAAACTAGAGAACAAAGGTTACAAACTCGTAACCTTAAAAAACAGCTTTTTAGCCTGCCCAACACTTCCCAATACTGTGAAGATATAGTACCCCTTGAAGAACACAGCAATGTGCATTTTGATTCAAATGTCTCTCAAGAAATTCTAATAGAAAATAATAACTCTAGTATAGATGAAACAATTACAAGGCATCATATTACTATTGGAACTCAAACATCCAATATATTAAGATTGTTCTCTACAGAGCTATTACTTGCAGACGATGAGACAGTGCAATACTACACCGGGTTGGAAACAGCATCTAAGTTTTCATTAGTTTTAATCACAATTTTGCCAATGTCAAATGATATAAGGTATCGATGGAGTAGAGTGGTCGGCATATCAATAGAAGATCAATTTTTAATATTACTAATTAAGCTTAGGAGAAACACCACAGATTTTGAATTAAGTAAAATTTTCGGTGTAAGTAAAACTGAAGTGTCTAATATTGTTGTAACATGGATAAATTTTGTCAGTGATATCTAGAGCCTAATTGACATTTGGCCCAGCCGCAGCTTAGGAAATTATTATATGCTTAATTGTTTTAGAACACATTATCCCTCCACAAGGGTGTAATGTTATGTAATTTTAAAGGAATTGTCAATAAAAATAATTAAAAATATTCCTGATTTTTTATTTCGACAAGTGTGTATAGTTATAATACAGATATTTTTCATACAATGCTTCTTTGAAAATATTTTCATAAAATATATCTAATTT